AGCTGGTATGCGACGCACCCCTTTGTCTTCTGGGTGAATTCACCAACCCTTCTGACGAAACTCTCACTAGCAAGCCCACCAGTTACGTCACAAAACTTACAACGGCCATGCCTGCTTTCCGTGCAAGTCCTCCGCGACAAAAGCAACGTAAAGCAGCATATGTTTTTAATGAACGCACCCACTGCACAAACGCATTATTCCTCCATGACGCGACTGAAAATATTTACAGCACCCTTACGACGGCCCATTTCGAATCATTGACCGACCGTCACACAAAATATTTTCTCCTCGATTTAAGTGAACAAGACGACACCGTCTCACTCAATCGTCTGAAGCCATCTCACCTTGGGAATATTTCCAGCTCTGAGACTAAAACAACAAAGCGTAACCCTGGTACAACTCTGCTTGCCTCATCACCCCGCACTATATCCACAAAGACTGTTTCCCGCCGTAGGTCGGAGAGATCACCCTCGACGCTCCGTAACTTGAGCGCCCCTATATACCACCACAACTCGGCATTCACTATACTTCGTTTCAGCTTCGGTCCAGACGCAGCCGATGCTACAAGCGCGAGCATGTGGCCCAGAACAGTGCTTGCACTGCACGAGCGCGCGTGCTTGGCAGGGATGCTGAAAGCCCGGAGCTCGCGCTTGTAGCTTTGGCTGCGTCTGGACCGAAGCTGAAACGAAGTATATCAACCTCGTTCCTGGAAGAGGAGTATTTGTAGCAACCGGCTGTTTATGAAGTAACAGGAGCACGAGCGAGGTCGAGCTTAAAGGTCGAGCTGAGAACAGCGATAGCTTTCGAATGAATCGGACATCTATATATTAGTGTTTTGGTATTCTCGCTCACCGCTTGTTCGGAGAAAGGGGCAAAGTCATGTTGGAGAAGTCTAAAATCCCGGTGTTCGGCGGCTAACGGCGCCTCGGCTGAACTAAAATCACTGGAGCCTGGGAAAGTAGCGCCAACGCCTTCCTTACCTGCTAGCCGGACACAAACAGATACTAACATACAGACAACCAAAACCTCTCAAGGCAATCTGTCCACATTGACATGGAAATCGCCATCTCGTCCATCCAAACCTTGGAAGCATCCACAGGGTCGTTCTAAACCAGCCGCGCCAAGATCACCAAAGAGCATCATTGTACTGGAAGCGCTTCCCCCAACATAAGCGTCTCTTGCACTGTGTATGCAATCAACTTATCAATCATGCCAATCTCCATGGATCTCTTACAATTATATTGTTCCTCTTGCGTATTTTAAAACAGTAAACTTATTTTTCAGTGCCTTCAAGCACCGACACAGCATGTGGTGGTGGTAGGAAGATGTAAGTACGCTTCTTTCGCCAGTGTGTGGACAGCAAAATCTCGGTATACAAGAAACGTCTCCATAAAGCTACCCGTCACCAGCGAATTTAGATCGGCTTACCAAGAACGGAGAGAATTGCATACTCCACAGACCAAAATGGCGACCATACTGTCGAGTTTCCCATGTTGGGGTACCCACGGCAGCTGTGAAATGAGCGAGCATCCAGTTCAGGCTCCCAGGCAGAAAAAAAACGTCTTTATCTCATGCGTTCTTTTTGAGCCGTCCGCACGTGCCTCGTGCCAGCCACGTCGCACGTGGGTCAGTCAACAATCACCACATCTTCCTTTTTTCGAAGCAGGGCAATTTACAACATATACAAAACAGCTAGCCAAGTTTCAACAGATCACAAAGTAATTTAAAATTTATACAAAACATCTGGCCAAGTTTAAACACACCACAGTGTAAGTTACAATATGTACAGAGGATCTGGTGAAGTTTAAATAGCACATTAGCTGTCGAACAACAACTCGACAACAAACGTATATGGTGCAAAGTATTTTACAAAACCTCTGTTAGAGTTTAAATCCCACATCAATCTTCAAAACCCAGCCAGACAGGCTCGCGCACAATTCCTTCTGACCTGGTCACATAAGCCTGAGGTATCCTGGCAGCGCCTGAAGCAGGTCCTGCAACAATATCACTTCACGTACTGCCATCTAGACTTTTGTCCGAACTGTCGGTGTCTTCCTCATCTCCTACGGGAAAGTCGCACGAACCGCCGTTCTGGTGGGAGGAACCAGAAGGAAGAAAGTGTAAAGCTCTTCTGTTTCGTCTCAGTTGTTTTTCAGAATCTGTTTCCAGCAAGTAAGTTCGAGGTTTGGCAGCTCGCGCTACCACTGTGGCTTCCGACATCTTGTCGTTTACCCACACTTTACCTCCCACTTTCAACGTACGTAGCTCTGTCGCTCGGTGTTGTTTGTTGAAGACTCTCCGTTGCTTCTCGCGTTTTCGGCGGTCATTTTGCATTACTGTTTTCAGATCGGGGCGCACCTGACCTTGTAACTTAAGGAGCATTGACACCCTCGTCCGAAGACGTCGTCCCTTCAAGATTTCAGCAGGACTTCTTCCCGTCAACCCTGGGGTGGCTCTGTAAGCCAAAAGAGCTAGGTAGGGATCTGTTGATTCTTTAATAAGACGTTTAACAATTTGCACCCTTCTCTCTACCTCGCCATTTGCTTGCGGGTACCTTGGACTAGTCGTAACGTGACGAAACCCGTACTTGGATGCAAATCTTTTAAATTCCGCGCTTGCAAATGTCTGAAATGACAATTTCGGGCACACCATGTCGAGCGAAGATACTCTTAAGTTGTTCGATTACAACGTCGGCACGAGTGGAAGGGAGCAGGGCTACTTGCGGAAACCGCGACAAGTAATCGACAGCTACCAAGTAATCCGAGTCCTTTATCTTACACAGATCCACGCCCAGTTTTTGCCTGAGGTAGTCGGGGGTGACTGTTGGAATCGTTGGTTCCGCACTTTGGTTGCCATACTGCGCACAAACTCGGCAGTTCTGTACCAACGCACTGGGTTCCTTACTTAGGCCTGGCCACCAGACACATTCTCGTGCCCGAGCTCGACACCTGGCTATGCCTTGGTGACCGTCATGCAAACGAAGCAAAACCTCTTTCCTTAGTTCTTGAGGAAGAATTAGCCGCGTGCCCTTCAACAAAAATCCATCACCCTGGGTCATCAAAGCCCTCACCTGCCAGTACGGGCGTAGCAAATCAGGAACTGATGGTTTCACGGGCCAGTCCTTCTCACATAAACGCTGTAGTGACTTACAGAGAATATCAAAGGCTTGATACTCTTTTACTTTGGAGACAAAGTCTTGTCCGATTTCTAGCCCCGTCAGGCAACCCTGCGAGTATGCGTTTAATTCTCCAACAGTTATTTCTTCCGGAGCTGCCTGTTTGTCTTTGAGTTGAGCATGAGACAAGCCGTCAGCCGTAATGGGCTGCTTTCCCGGCACGTAAACCATTTTAAAGTGGTAGTGTATAAACCTCTTGCGAAACCGCTGCACGCGGGGAGGTAGGACGTCAATAGAGCACGTTCCCAGCAACGGAACCGATGGTTTATGGTCAGTCTCAAAAACGGCATCGAGCCTTCTCAGGTACTCATCAAACCTTCCAGCGGCCCACGTCAACGCCAGCGCCTCTTTCTCGATCTGCGCGTACCGCGTTTCCGCTGAGGTTAAAGAGCGAGAAGCAAATGCAATAGGTCGTCGGTCGCCGTTTTTCTGGACCCAAGAAAGAACTGCGCCAAGGCCGAACGACAAGGCGTCTGCAGAAAGGGCAGTGGGCAGGGTCGGGTCATACTTCGCCATGCACTCAGCCGAGCAGATGCTGTCCTTGATTGCACTCAGAGCTGCCTTTCGGCAGACCTGGCGGAGGTGTCCCTTATTCTGGCAGTTGAAGCACTTTATTTGGCTTCTCGCAGGACACAGGGACCGCTGGTGCTGGTCTCCACCGCAGAACTGACACGACTTCTGGAGATAAGATTTGACCGGCATATTGCTCTTCCTGTCCGGCAGCTTGGAGTGGCGGCGCACAGCGTCGACATCCAGGTCAGAGTCCTGGGTTTCATTGGACGGCGGCGGATGGGTTGATCGGAGGGTGTGTTGCTGCTCGGGCACTGTTTCTTTCAGTTTCGCTTTGGCTGTTGCAGTGGCAAGAGTAAGCTTGGCGTCCATCTGCAGGGATTCCGAAAGCTTGTCGTCGAGAAGGCCCACCACGAATCGGTCTTGAATCATCCGCTGTTTCATTTCGCAGAAGTCACAGCGTTCAGCCTGGACGTGCAGCGCCGTGAGGAACTCATCGACCGTCTCGCCCTTCTTTTGTTGCCGACGGTGGAAGCACGCGCTTTCCAACACGACGTTGCATTCCTTCAGGAAATATTCATCGAAATTGTTTTTTACGATGTCAAGTTTCTTTGAGTCTCCCTCCGCTAGGTCAAACCTTGCAAAAATGTATCTTGCCTGTTTGCCCATGGAGTATAGCAGGGTACGGACTTGGGCCTCGTCACTTCGCTCGTTGATAGCAGACGCGTAGCGTTAGTCGTCGAAGTGCTGTATCCAGCTAGGCCACTCCGACGAATTATTGAAATCCAGTGGCGGCTGCTGTTGGAGGGAGGCGAAAAATCCTGGCGGGTTCGATTTGGTGGCTTCTGCCATCGGTCCTCAGTTTTGGCGTGGCCAGAAAAAACATCTTTATCTCATGCGTTCTTTTGATCCGACCGCACGTGTCTCGTGCCAACCACGTCGCACGTGGGTCAGCCAACAATCATCACACATACAAGGAGCGTGCGCTACTTTTCCAGGATGCAGTGACTTTAGGCTGAACTATCTTGTCTCCTAGCCATGTGCTTTGCGCCCCGCGCCTTCGCCCCACGCTTGATCCAAGCGCGCCCGTCGCAGCGGGACCAAAGTTCTCAGTGTCCTAAACCGGCGCAGTGTAAATAAAGTGAAGAGGGGAGCATTGGTTTTCTTCACTACCATTCCGGGCGATTGAAAACTAAACGAGCGTAAATAAAGAAGTAAGATTCCGTGACGTGCAGGCAGTCTCTGGGTATTGCAAGAGTGGCAGCTGCCCCGAGTGTGCTTTTGGTCTTACCTACCTTCAGGGGACAATTTCAACTTACATCTCTTTGTTTCGTTTGTTATTAGGGCTCGTTGACACGGATCCGTGCCGAAGTGTTTCTGGAGTCCTCGAGTCATTGAGCAGATCCTTTAGGTTGTCATAAACTGTGATGCCCGTGTTGTGAACCAGGACCAGCTTGTCCATTTGTCTTAGAAATGACCCCTGGTTGCACGCAATAATCCGAGTCTGCCAATGAGACAAAACAAAGAGCACTCAAAGTTTGTTCTGTGTGACGATCATCGTAAACAAGCGCAGCTGTTGAACCGGTAGTCAGGACGCAAACAAGCGGGTGAAGAATAAATAGACATAAATTAACTCCAAGACTGCGAGAAGCAAGCACAGCATGACACAAACGCACAAAAAGACTTTGTTTGTTCGTGTCGTTTTTGCTTCCCCCAGTCTCGGGGTTGAGTTATGTCCTTGCAGCCGTTTTTTTTTTAATCTATCGATCAAAGCCGTATTATGCAGAGTTGCATTTGATGAGAAAAGCAGCCTACGCTCGAGTTCAATATCCGTTTTTCTGCCGTCGTGGTTCTTTATTTTGTACGCGACACCGAGAACGCACGGTGTGAAGCGAGGGAGCCTCATGTGGGTTGATTCCTGCCGTGTTTACGCGAGACGCTATCGAAGATGCGCCATTGGTTTCCAGGACAGCTATTCTGTAGGCAGCGAACTCTCCCAGTATCGACTGTGCAACGACGTGACACGTCACGCCATGCCACTACACGCGCCCACGCAGTGTACCAAGGCGTTTGAGAAGCAGAACGTAAATAGCAAATACTTTTTAAGCGTTAATTTCTTTTCTGAAAGAACAACCGTAATGGGATCAATGTTCTACAACCAGTGTAGCTTCTTTCTTCGGCTTACACCATTACGTGAGTCAAATTAATATGATAACTTCGTACATAAAGAGTGTATTTTGCAGTTTTCTTGAACATGCAGCCACCTGCTCGGGGACGTTTTCTTACACTGTGTGCTGTACCTGAAGCTGTATTTATCTTATGTCTGACAGATGACTTTTCAAGATAGAATAAGTGATCAGAAGGAAAAAAACCTCTAACCCGGCTACAATCTGACATACTTTAAGGCTGCTAATCGACCGACCGCCAACGCACCTTCGTCAATTTGGCGGTACAGTCCCGCCGGTATACGCTTGATGAATTACAGGTGTTATTATTACCATGATAAAAATGAAATTTGAATAACTAAAGGTCTTGGAATAGATCAACAGTAAAGCTAAATTTTTCTGAGCTATGTTTTACAAAGATATTCTCTTCGTGTTTTGTTAGGCTCTATCCTGACAAATTTTATACTATTCCGACTAACAACAGTTTCCGAACAATTTAAAAAAAAACTATTAATTTTTCCTGATGTGAGAAACAAAAATGCGCAACATAAAAATGAGATTAGTACAGGCCTAGTCATTTCAGATCGCACAACTAGTTTATAATTTATAAGTAGTCACATATACCAAGCAGCCCTGTAGCCACTTCGGTAAACGTTTTCACGTTCGGGATCATTTCACAATGTACGCTAATGCCTGCTCGGTGGACTGCCTCCAAACACCGTTAGCATGCTTATCACAAGGCATGCGCGCAGTCTAAAAGAAAGCAGGGAAATATATGATAATTGATTGGCAACTCGAAACACGTTTTACGATGAAGCCTGTTAATACCGCAGATTGGGCGAGTTGGTAAAACATGGTCCACGTTCCAGCGCACAGGTAAACAGTCACTCAACACATTTAAGCACACAAAAAATACTCTCACACCACGCTCAACGCGCGGTGTGAGTGTATTTTTCGTGTTCTTGCATTTATTGAGTTACTGCCTACCTACGTTCTGGTACATGAATCAAGTGTTGCGAATGAAGTCAGGCAGCCGTGAGATAATGCAGCACCTGGCTCCTGAGGATGCCCTTTTTGCCGATCACTTCCTTGAAAACCTTCTTGGCGACGACGGCGTCCAGAGCGCTCAGAGGATCGTCGAGTAGGTAGATGTCTGCCTGGTGGTAGGCAGCCCGGGCCAGGTTGATCCTCTGCTTCTGCCCGCCACTCAGCGTCTCGCCCTAATAACAGAAAGAGAAAAAAAGCTGACATTTTTAGAGCGCAGCTCCTAGGCGCCCGTTTCCATGCTTCGCTGCGTCGGCGTCGGTTTCGACGTAACCACGCTCAACTTAGCGGGAAAATTGACGTCACGTGACATCAACACTATTTTGATTCCCCGCTAGACTTAGGTGACGAATTCAGTTTCTCCATTAGACTTAGCGGGAATATTCCCCGCTAAGTTCGAGAAATTGAATTGGACTTGAGGTCACGTGACGTCAATTTTCCCACTAAATCAGCGGGAAACCTCTGACGTGAAACCAAGTCCTGTGACATCATTTTCCCCAATAAATTTAGTGGGGAAACTGAATTGGTGTTGAGGTCATGTGACGTCCATTTTTCAGGTAAATTTAGCGGAGAAACTGTGGGCGAAGAGGGAGGGGAGGGTACTGAGGAGGAAGATGGGAAGGCACGCAAGAGGAGGAGGGGAGGGCACGAAGGAAGGGAGGAGGAGAGGAAGAGGAGGAAATGAGGAGGGCAGAGGTAGGGAGAGGAGGAAGAGGAGAGGAGGAGGAGGGGCATACCTTCGCCTCTTCCTCCTCAAGAGCTGTGCTCTAATTTCGCGTTACAGAGATTTGTAGCCGCCTTTCATCTCACTGAGATGTCATACCCCCATTCGATCACAGAAGTGGTCTCCCGTTCTTCGACTATCGTTTCCTTCAATCAGAACCTTCCGGGAAACTGTCGATGTCTTATTTTTTTTTTGATGCACTCGAGAAATCTTGTAGTGTTGTAAGAAGGTACATAGAGTATCTACTCAGTTCCTTTGGTTACTACACACCACTATACTCTGTTCCACTTTAAGTCCGGCCACATCATATGCTACGAGCAACCGCAAAATTCGGTCAACCGCAAATTGAAAAAAAAAACAAAAAAAAAAAAAAACACACGCATACACACAAAGAAAGAAAAGCACACACAAGTATATCACAATTGTGTTGTATCGTTCTCGAGTGTTTTTGCAGCTTCGGCTTTTCCAAATTACGAAAATTTCACCAGTTTCCCGCATCTTTAGGTTTTCCACATCCACCTTTTAAATCAAACGGTCACCTTAATGAATACCAAAAAAAAGTTTGCAATGCTTTGTTGGTTGGATTCAATTGTGCAGATTTTCGCCGACCACTGTGCACATAAAAAGAAACTTATCGGACAAACTGGATGTCCTTAGTTGCAAGGCTGTGTCTACGATGCTTCCTCGCTCAAAACGACGAAGCAGGAACGAACCTTTTCTCCAACTTCTGTGAGGTCGCCGGCGGGAAACGTGCTAATGTCCTCATACAGTTGGCATGCCTGTAGCACACGTGCGTAGTCCCCGCCATTCATGGATTTGCCATACAAGACGTTGTCTCGCACACTCATATTGTGCACGTTGGCCGTCTGTGGAACGTAGGCCACTCGGCCCTGAAACAAAATAGCACATGTGAGCTTCAGATAGCCTGCACTGGAGTGCCGCCCCACCACCGAACTTCAATGAACGTCAAATACGCAACGTCATGTAGTCCTGTACGTTACACGACTCCAAGGCAAGCTGTACTCTGCAACAGATTTTCCGGTAGAAAAATAGCGCGACTTTTTCGCTTCTGTCAGAAAAGTAAGAGCATATTCTCGTTGCTTGTAACTGTGGTTAGTCAGAACGTTTTGAGGCACATCCACACCTCCGGTGAGGCTTGTTGAATTTTAAAATTTTTTTTTCACATCGAAAACAACAGCAAGCATTAGAAACAGCTAAAGAAGTATACAGTTATGCATACACAAAATTTTTAAGATATGAACGATTAAATCTGTAACGAAGATTAATAAACAAACAAAAACACTATGGGTTTTTATAGACTAGAAGGAACATCGTTTTTGTCTCGGTGTTAATGAGTAAAGAAGGTGTATCATGGCAGTGCATCAAATGACATCTTAACACAGTTTATTTATCGGATATTGTCCGTATTTTCGTGAGTTCCACCATGTTGAATTCTGACGTAGCTGAGCTGAGGAACAATAGGAAATTTCTTTATTTGCCGACTCGAAGGCGCTAGACTTGAAGGGATTCGTGCCAATTGTTGCGCATTTTTCTTAGATATACTTTTATTGTAGTTATACTTAAAATATTTACTCTTTTTTGTTGCCCAACGCAACTATGTAATATTCTAACATGGCTACAGTTACAGGGAAACGGTCTTTAACATAAATTAGGACGACTGCCGCGGTGTTATGAAAGATAGCTGTTACTGCTTTCTTATGGGCCCCTATGTTACAAACGTACGCAAGCTGTTCGTTGTTGATTCGTACAGAGTTCTTTAAAAATTGAGACCGTTACGAAATACCGTCTTCAGTATAGTTTCGGTGGGACCTGCTGAAAATGGGAAGGAGGGAGATATGGAAACAATCCCCTTCAGTGCAGGTTTATTGGATGGAGTCGGAGGTCGTCATTGGGAGGATAACTATCATAATCAGTGTACTAAATAAATATTATTGTTTTACAATGTTTTTAATGATTTTAAGCGTCATGTTGCTATTGAAAAATTAAGGGACATTCTTCATAGGGTCTAAAGGAGTTTACACATATTGAGAAGAAACAACGTACTTGCGCACATTCATTTATCAGTAATCATGCTGTTGACGCCTAATATTCGAACTTAAGAAAATGAAACCACCACGAGGACGTTCAAAACGAAGAAGAATAACTTATTAACTTCAGTCATTCAATTTATATCCAGAGCATGCCTTTAAGTCATCTATTAAGAACCGGCTGTCACAATGATAGCGATGTGCTTAAAAAAAACTACACCACTTTCTATATGTCAATGGGGGCATGACTTCTCGCGCTCTTGCTGCATCCAGTGCAAAAGTTTTGAAAAAAAAAAAGAGAAAAGCGCCCGCCAAGTTAATTAATGAATATCAACGCATTCCTTTTGTTTAACCGAGAAGTAATGGGCCGTAAAGGGAAAAGCTGTTTGTGACACTGACTTGAAAGCAAGAGGTTTAAGAAGCCAGCCTCTGGGTATTCCCGTGTTCGAAAAACTGCCCCCGCAGGCTTGCTCTTGCAGCCAACTGTTCACTTCTAGGCGATATGAAAGAGGTAACTGCTGCAGTCCCAAGAGACTCCCGGATCTGCTTCCCGACGATGCAAGAATTCATTGCTACATTCACGCATACAACATACATTGCGCAACGCCGTTAGCGCGAACACAAATTGCGCGCTTTTCTCTGTTTACCTCAAGAGGAAAGATACGGGCATGAAACGTTAGCACTTAGGTTACTGGCCCAACTGAACACTTTCAACCATTAGTTTTGATGAAAGTTCTTGCACACTGAGAGAAAATCAAAGAAAACTGGCAATGGTCTAGTTCGCTTTGACAGTGTCATGGAGCGTACACACCGATGGCGCCTACTTCCGCACCATTTTTATTTCAACGATATTTGTTAAGGGCACTGTTTTTGTTGTTAAGATTCCTCTTGTCGTAAAGGGTTGGATAATTACTTAGTGTCGATGAACATCTCCGCTCGTACACACCATATTTATGCTGACACAGGCGGACGGCGCCATTTGCACAACTTGGGAACTCCTGCAACTCGAGATACTGGGGCATTATGTGCAGACGCCAATTACTTGATGTGTTATATGATTGACTTCCGGTATACACAAACTAATTTTGAGTAAAAAAAGTAATTAGTCTTTGTTAAACTGCGATCCGGCATTAACTGCCTTGCCCAGGAAGTGCTTCCGAGTATACCAGTTACAGAAGACTACTCACTAGGATCCCTATTAAGGTTGCTGCTCTGTGTTTGAATGGGAATGACTGCGTTACGACCGCTTGTGACGGGTTACGAGGAACGAACACACTGGTGCCATCTATCAGGAAGCCATAGAAACTGTTCGAACTCCATATAACTAGTCCGAAGGGTTTGAAGTATTCGCGGGATCAAATCTACGTGTTATGTATAAGCTATTTTTTTGTTACATTTTTAGGATTATTCTAAGCCCACGGTGAACGAATAATCCATAAAATAAGCGTATATCGAAAGCGCTTTAGGCCTACTCAAAAGGTGGCGCTATAGTGTGTTAACTCGTTTAGAGTTCCTGTATAGGCTCCCTACGGGAGCTAGAATTGTGCGTCTGTTTTCCACTTGCCGCCGCGCCGCTATTCGCCGAGATCCGATCACGTGAGGAGTAGGATCAAATGCCGTGCAGGAAAGTAGACGTTACACGCGCCCCGGCGCACGTTCCCCTGCTTTTGAGCGCGCCGTGCGCATCGAACGGGCGGCGCCGCTGTTCGCCGAATTCAGTCACGTGAGGAGCAGGATCAACATGCCGTACAGGAAAGACGGCGCTACAGAGAACAGCGCGCAACTCTGGCTCCCGTAGATAGGAACTCTAGCCTCGTCGTTTGCAGTCACAAGCAATCGTGGCACAGCCAAGCACAATCAAACGCAAACGTATGAACCATCGTTTAGATGAAGCAGTCGAGCGCCGGCTCTTTCCCCTCTTCCCCCTCCCCCTCCCCCTTCCCCATTTACCGTGCACTTGACAGCGCCCACGTAGACGTGCATGTCCCCCAGTATTCCGGCGAGGAGCGACGACTTGCCACTGCCCACGAAGCCAACCACGCCCACCAGCGATCCGGGACTGACGCGCAGGTCGACGTTGCTCAGCCCCGCTCCGTTGTTTTTATGTTTGCTCCAGGATAAGGAGCAGTTGCTCATGATGACTTCCCCTGTAAGAAGCGAGAGCCAAAAGTTCATTTCCCAGTCTGCGAGAACAGCAGGTCAAAAGCCCCCTCTGAGCAACGTCGGTGACGTGGGCCTATAAACTGCCAAGGGTGCACCCTCTCAGAGCTAATACAGAAATGTGAGATGAGTCGAGACTCTAGGGATCTCGAGGGTCCTATAAATTACCGACAGCTTCTAAAATACAAAGACGTGGCAAGTACTCGGCGTCATTTTTACTCCTCGGCCAATGGGGTTGGGGCGTTAGCAAATAAGAACGCGCACCTATAAAATGCAAATAAAAAAAGACAAAAAAAAACACAATCTCTTGTGTTTAAAAGAAAAAAAAAATACTGATCCGAAGTGTAAATAAAAAGGATTAATCGAGCGAGCTTCCTGGGTTGGTACAGTACCCAAATATGTGAATTATACAGTTGGTTGATGATCTGATTACCGTACTTCTTGGAACGAAGTTCTGATTTCGCCGATCGGGAGAACCGTCAGCCGGAAGCAGACGATGCGAACGTATCTTTTCGGGAGTAGCAGTGGCGGAACTGGCATATGCTTACTTGCTCTCGTGTTTTCTCGTTCTTCGTTTTCCTGTCATTCAGGAGACGTCATATCGTAGCACGTTATTCGCAAAGCGTGCTCAGAACTAGCTCCAATTTATCGTCTTTGAAGAACAACGATTCTGATCGTGTGGAGTTGACGTTGAACGTGCTTCCAAATGCATTCCTCGCAGGCAGTAAACCAAAGCTACGGCGGAGCCTCCTATATACTCACAAAGCCTGGCAGTTCGACGACGGAACCATAGAGTGCTTGGTCGCAGATTTGGAGCGCGAGGATCTGGTAGCACAGAGCATCAAAGAGCCATTTCTCGGGGAACCTAGACGTCCGCGCACAGCTTTTGCAGCGGCAAGGACCCGAAACTCACTTGTTCGCTCGGGAGAAGTGCGTTTCGGCGTCTCGCCACAGCGGCGTCCCAGTCACGTGGCTCTCCTCTCATCCAGTGTCTGCCGCTCTACCTTTTCCCTTTCGGCGGCCGCTTTTCGTGGCGCTCTGCCAGGCTTTGTCAGTGTACAGGAGGATATGGCTCTGAGTACCCATGTGATCGCAGACCTTGGATACTGATCAAAGCTGTGCACTCGCCGTATTCGCTTCTTCTGAAATGCGAATCTCTGAGTATGCGCTGCGATGACGACGACGACTACACGGGGGGGGGGGGGGGGGGGGTCGCAGGTGTACAGCAGCACTTTAGGCCTCTTTCTTGGTACATGCTCGCGCTCTTGATCAGACGGTACTTCGCTGCCGCAGCGGCTACTGCAGGTACAGCACGTCGCCATAGCACATGCGAGGTCCGAGTTTGAGGTACGAGCAGGTACGAGCACGCTTGACGACCACGCAACGGGCCGATCTTGCCAAATACCGGATGGATGGATGACTAGTGGCTATGTAAATCGTTATGTGTGGCAGACTGCGCCACCTAGCCTTGACCGGGCAGAACGCGTGCCCAAGCTGGCCTTCCTGGCAGGGCAAGTAACTTGACGTCACGAAACGAGCTTCCAAAAACGCGCACCAAGGGTGGCGTACAATATTTATATTTTGATTTATTAAATTTTGAACGCGATCTCGCTCGAGACAACGTAGCTTATAACAATGTGGTGCGCCATATATGCCATTACGACCGACAATTTTCACTCCAAATCTCGGTTCAGTATCCCCTTAACCTGTCACTGATTATAAGAAAAAGTTCTCCGTACTTAAAAGTGTTTTTTCATGTTAATAAAAAATTATGACTTGTACTTATCGATCGCGCTATTTCAACTTTCAGGCACAAGGCCCCTTTGGAGGTTTAAAAGTTAGACTCCGTTATACATTTGTAGAAATAAATGAACTGCGCAAAGGACGAGGACAGAGGTAGAAACAAGTACGAAACATGGAGCGCAGACTTCCAACTGTTTATTTGGCGCAGACACAACAGTATATATAACAGCAGCAATTAGTTTGCGGCGAAATAAGGCTTAAACATGACCATCTAAAAAAGAAAATTCCTTGTCTGATAGTGAAACAGATTGCATTCTTATGCAGTCGTGACCTTTCTTTTTAATGAAGTAGGCTTCTACGAGTTTTCTTTCCGTTGTCTCATCTGCTCTTGCGAGAACACGTGTCCTTTGCAAATCAGGATGACAACCGCATTTCAAGCAATGTACAGGCAGATGTCCACCTGTGTTGTTTTTTATCGACAGAAAGTGTTCACGTGCCCTGAGGTTGAAACAACGTCCAGTCTCGCCAATGTATACTCGCCCGCAAGAAAGCGGAATTTCATAGATAACACCAGATGCGCATTCCTTGTAGCGCTCGCTGTGCTCCTTTTTGCATTTGTTGATGTTCATTCTTGGCTTCATCATAGGGCACACTTTACTGAGTTTGCAGGGCGCTGAAAAAACGACCCAGAGATCATACCTGGCCGCCACCTTTTTCAGGTTATGGGACAGGCCGTGGTGGTACGGGGTAACATGCACGCGCATTTTTTCTTTTCGCCTCTGCTCATTACTACCAGTTTTCTGCTTCCGTAGCAAGCGCACACATACAGCAGAGACCAAGTGTTGGGGGTACCCTGCGGCAGTAAGGCGGTCACACTGATCGCGGAAACTGGACGCCATTTTGTGAACACGTGATTTTTCTAATGCTGCTGTACAGCTAGACATAATGATGGCTCTTTTAACAAGCTTTGAGTGAGCACTGTTGCAGGGCAAAAGGCCCTTCTTGGTCCTAGGGTGGTACGATCAGCCGATGTGGTTGTCATTAAGCGTTATTTTGGATCTAAAAACTGGATGGAACCGTTGATAAAGTTAAGGCCATCGGATGCTCATACGATACGTCATGGGTAAAATTAAGGCCATTGGATGCTGATACGAAGATAGATAGAATGCTAGAAACAGCCTTGTGAATACAATCAGAACCTTCGATATCTAAAAACACAAGGTAGTCATCGACGTATCTAAAAACGCGCTCTACATGCTGATCGCAAAGGAGCTGCTGCAAGTGCCTGTCAAAAAAGGACAAATACATATCACATAGCACGGGGGCAACCGCGGACCCGATACAAAGGCCGGTCTTTTGAACATAACACCTCTCCTCGTGCGCAATTACTGTAGAGCTCAAGTAGAAACGCAGCAGTTCAAGGAAACTCTCAGTGCTAATACCGCTTGCACTCTGAAAACTAATTTCACCAAACTCCTCGATGCTGTCCCTGACGGCTGTAAGCAAGCCCTCATGTGGAACCAAATAAAACAAGTCCTGAATGTCCACAGAGAAGGCAGTCTTTGCAGACGGGAAACCGCTCTCCAAATCACGAACCACTTTACTGGAACTTCGAACCAGGTAAGGGTCCATTCCCACAATCTTGTTAACATGGCTCTGGAGGTACGAGCCGATTACTTTTTGCCAAAAACCCTTCTCGGAAGCAATCACGCGAAGGGGGCAATCAGGTTTGCGGGTTTTTCCCGTTTTCCGTTATACAATCGGCGAATCTCTGGGTGACACGTGGGAGACAAAGGATGGCGATCTGCTTGAGTGATTCTTAGTCGCCTTAGATCAAGAGTTCGTTAAATGTAACAGGCGACATTTTTACCGGTGACTTATACGAAGGCGCAACTACATAACTGCGTTCATAAGTCACTTGACTGATTTTAAATAAAGTTATTCAACACAGAAAAAGCTTTTTAGGTGATTAACACTTAAGTTGCCACAATACGGTTTTTCTGACACATTTACTTGCTGTAGATGCAGTAACATACCATTCGTACTACTTTATGTGGGTGGAAATAACAATAAAAGCCTCGGAAGAAACTCTTTCACAGTTCCAAATTTCTAAAATTAAAAAGGCCGGTTAGATTTTCACCGTAGTTGCAGACAATAGGGGTTCTCAACAGGCGTCAACAGGCGTCAAGCATTAAAACGTACGGCTACCCTAACCATAATAACAGAGCGAGCAAGGTAGACATTTTTTAGTTTGCACCTATACCTTTTCTTTGGCATACTTGGTCGTCGTCGTCACAGAGTTTTTTCTCCTCTTTCTCTTCTTCGATGCAGAAGTTCACGATACGATCGGTTGACAGAGATATCTTTAAAAAAAATTACATATTTATCCTTAGTAACCGCAGAACTCTTCAAATGCACACACGCAGTTTTGACCGAGTTTTCATTGCGATCATTCTGGATTTTGTACAGAAATGTAAACTACATTTAGGGTTAGACTGCCCGACATGCACCCTGTCGGGCAGTCTAACCCTCAAGGTAGTTTGCATTAATAGTTTAATTAGCGTTGTTGTTAAAGATCTGTAGGATATACGCATCACATATATATGTGGCCCTTCCAGTTGAAGTCGAGATTGTAGTCACTAAACGCATAAGAAGCGCAGGGTGTAATTTTGACGCTCCTCCTCTAATAACGTTGCGGCGTTAGCCAATTAAAACACTCAATAACTAATCACAAATTTATAAGCCTGAACAAATTAAGCCCCGCCCTGCGTATTTTCAGCTCTTAGGTACTGTGGTTGTACGTGCGAATGAAATCACATAAATTAATGCTCCTAAAAATTCCGTTATCGTGCCCTGCCCCGCGTTGCTTACAGAACATCAATAGTTGGTCTTTTTCTTTTGTCAACCAATGAGATGTAGGATAGTTGCTATCATGCTTTAATGGCCTCGCAGTTTCATTATTCAGAAGAGGTTATCATCATTGTTTCGCCAAGGATGCATTATGTTTTGGGATAAATACCCATCAGTTTTTTTTTTATTGAATACGGTGATTAAATAAAAAGTATATTTACGTTGCGCGTGTATCAAAGGTAACTGTACATAAAAAAAAAGAAGAAAAAAACAAAAAAACTTAGGAATAAATTTCTTGAGGAAGCATACAACCATAGCTCCCTCTATAGTCACAAAGCCTGGCAGTTTGTCGACGGAGCCAGAGAGTGCGCCCCGTCGCAGATTTGGAGCGCGAGGATCTCGCATTATAGAGCACCAAAGAGCCATTTCTCGGGGAACCTGGACATCAGAGCACAGCTTTTGCAGCGGCGAGGACCCGAAACGCACTGAATCGCTCAGGAGAAATGTGTTTCGGCGTCTCGCCGCAGCGGGGCGCCAGTCAAGTGGCAGTCCTCTCATCCGTTGTCTGCCGCTCCACCTTCTCCATTTCGGCGGCCGCTTCTCGTGGCGATGTGCCAAGCTTTGTCAGTATATAGGAGGCTACGCGTAAGCACACTCTGGGATTTCTGGTTGCGCAGAGGCACCGCATCTCGAAGAGGGTTCACCTGACTCCTGGAGCGTAGGGCCCATGCCATTTGTGCCATAGTGATGTCCGTCATGTAGACGAGAGAAATGGAACTGAACGAGGCTGCGATTGTCAGGACATGTCCCTGGTTGAAGGCGGTCAGCGTCGCAAACATTATGATGATCAGCTGCAGACGTGAATACATATGCTGCGTGTTCATGTCTTCAAACGAAAATATCCAAATCTGTCTTACAATCGCCATAAACTCACTGGTTCAGTCATTGAATTCAAATGTACGACTGTCCTAAGTAGGGTGACCACCTTTCTGCTAGCGAAATGCGGGAGACTGGAAGTGGGAGGGGGGGGGGATTTAGTAACACACACACGGCGAACCGAAGTTCCGTTAGCACATTTATTATCCTCTGCTGTTTATACACCTGCTAATCGTATTGGAGCAATTAAGCTTAATTAAGTTTTACTACGAGTGAAGTATTTTTTATGCCAAATGTGTTATAAAATGTGTCGAAGTTGAAAACATACAAATCGACTGTAGCAGAAATAAATTTTTCAAATGGAAATAAGAAACAGTAAATCTCTTTCGGGGTATTGTTTCCTGTCAACGCCTACTTTTATCAGCATTGTCGTACACAAATTTTTAACATTATGTTCTTTTTCGACCGTTGCGATTTGCAGGGTTTCTGCCTTGTGTGGCTGTGTTCACTAAAACCAAGATCCACAGCAACCCTGTCGCACTGACAGAACGATATTAAAATAATTACAATATTTTATGTTGAAACTTTGGCGAGCAATTTTTCTTAGAATATTTTGCCACCAAGGGGAGAGGCACAACGGAGCATGCGCGTCGGTTCTCCTGCAAGGACGACGGTCGCTTCCCGCAATGGTTTGATAGAAAATGGCGTACAGTTCCGATTCACACGATTACCAGCGACCTCCACGCTTCCCCGTGCCCCGTCGTTCGGCAGCGCCATGAGTTGCAGAGTGAATTTTACTACAGAATAAAATGCGGGACATTTTGAAGAATTGGGAATTTCTTGCGGGACGCGGGACACGAGCCCTCAATGCGGGACAGTCCCGCGAGTCGCGGGACGGGTGGTCACCTATAGTCCTAAGCAGTACATACACCGTGCGCAGGAAGGGACTACTGCACCATAAAACTAACGGTCAGAGTTAAACTCTTGACTGACGTTAAGCTGGGTGCAAGTCCTGAGAAGTTGTAGCACCGCAGTCTGCAAACTTTTACAGAGGGCTTACCACGTTAAGCCTACTTTAAGCGAATATGACGTACCACGGAGCTAAAGGCACTGAATATAGAATCTATGATTCCGTCCAGAGCGTTGACCCAAAAGAGCGGCTTCATCTCAGCGTCCCTGCTGCGCATCAGCTTGTCCAGGTAGGCGTCTTCCCAGGCGTACATCTTGACGAGGCGCACTGAAGACAGTATGTCCGAGGTCTGCTTGAGTCGCTCGTCGCGGGCGTTCATCTGGCGCCGCTGTAAAAAAAGAGTGTAAGGCCTCTTGCGGATGCGGTTCAAGAACTATTATTATAAATACGCTAGATTTTCGTACCCTAGTTTTGAAAAAATAGATCTGAAGATGATTTTTGTTTGCTATGCTCATTTTATTATAAGCAACGAGGGCAAAGTAGAAAGCTATTCGTGGTCAAAAAGTATAAAACGACATGAAGTAATGCTTACATAAAACGTGTTTTTGCAAAAAAAAAAACTCGTTCGTGAAATAAGAATATTCCCGAAGACATTTATGGTAGGCATTGATTCATTCAGTAAATTAGTTTGTCGACTGGGCTTGTTCATAAATGAGTTTATCTATACATAAACGTAGTAGTCACTCTCGTGCTTTTAATTTATTTTTATTTCAAGTCTCAAAGACTCAGTCATCTGTGATTACGAGGCTTAATTCTCCTATTAGATATACACAAAAAAACCACAAACGTAAAGCCACGCACCTATATATTGAACACAATGGCATCGCAGGTACAAATACGCTGAGGATGATATTTAATATAGGGAAGCTTTTTACTGGTGGAGTATTGAAGAAGCAATCGTAATTTATCGAGCTTTGAGAACGCTATTCATGAGGAAGAATGATTATCTTCCGAAATGTGGGTGACTCCTGAAGTCACCAGTGACTGCGTCATTCCACCGAAGTATAAAATAATAAGAAAGGATAGGGCTTCACGAAGAGGAGGCACTGCTATCACAAAAAGAGATTTGTGTTGTACAATTTTAGAACACTGCTTAGAGGAAGTTCTGTTATGTAAAATAAGGATCAGTAAATGCGTTTCGTTTGTAGCCGCAGCATATCGTACCCAAGGACCCAAGTTTTTGTAGCAATTAAATGCAGTTTTGGATAAGGATATAATTGAAAACATTTTAATTTTACCTATCTTGACTGGGAACATTTACAAATGGGGAATGTCGGCAAAGCGGATGGCGCAAAAATGCTTGAGATTGCCTCCAAGCACAGTCTTACCCACAGAGGTTAAACAGTTTACCAGAGCACCTAAAACAGCGCAATTTGTATTGTACTATAGTTTTTGTAAGTAATAATATCAGTGATTTCGACGTAGCTGTGGGCGACGGCATATCTACTCGTAAGCTGGTTTATTCTTTATAGGCTGTGTGAACAAGGCAGCAGGTTTGTACCGCATAGGACACATTACAAAAAGTTTGAAATTGCTGATACAATTGGTATTCATCATTTATTTATTTCGTGCGATGAGTTTGAATTTCTATGCAGCAGTGGCGATGTTCAGAGTGAATAAAAAAAAAAACTGCAGAAGAGTCTTTATTGCGTTAAAAAAATACACCCCACAAAAGAAAAAAGAAAAAAATCACAAGAAGTGAAACTCAAGTAAAGCGCAAGCTGAAGCGGCGCAGGAAAAGTAAGGGTATATTGCCAATGCGCGAAAACTTGGTGAACAACTTAAAATCATGGTGAATGCCGCAAATCAAAACAAGAGGAAAACTTGACTAAACCGCCTGGGTGTGTGTAGTTACAAACAACCCTAATAGCAAATGGTTTTAACTTGTTTTTTTTAGTAAGTGTTCACGGGCGATGTGCCCCTAGATAACCACAAAGTTAGTAATAAAACGAAAAGGATGTAAAAACAACCGGAGCAAAAGCGGAGGATCATACCAAAAAAAAGAAAAAGGGGGGGGGGGGGGGGAGTTCGGGACGGTTGCACCTATGCTGGAAATAGTACTAACTAAAAGTAGGCTTATCAAAGTTGCTCAATGTCAATATATACAGGTGCCTGAAGTGGACAAGATGCCTGTTGCCTTTCTTAGCGGGTACGCTGAGTGGGTTTTAGTCTATCTGAATTGCACACTTGTAAAGTAATTACAATCATCGCATCTCCCCTCTGATTGAAAGTGTGCACTAATGATGCCGGTTTTGAAATCTGGATATAAATTAACCCTTGACAAACATAAACCAATTTCTTTGGCATCCGTTGCAAATAAAATTAGAGGAAACATATTTCAAAACACATATATGTCCACCTTGAAACAAATAAGTTGCTTTACCCTAGACAGCACGTGTTTCGGTCAATCGGGTTGTCTACTATCACTCAACTGGTTGAAATTCATGATATAGCGCCTGCACCTATTGAGAAACAGCAAGTCGATACCATCTCCACAGTTTTTTTTAAGTGTTTGGTAGGTTGACGCAAAGTAATGTACTGCCGAAACATAAATTCGTTTGACTACATCAAACAACTATTAACTGGATTAAATTTTATTTAAATAATTTAATCCAAAGTGGTCAGTTGAATGACCATCTTTAAATATCTTCCAGTATATTCAGGAGCACTCCAAGGTTCGTCTTAGGACTACAACTTTTCTAATGTACGTCATAGTACACAACTCAAGACCACATATTCACATCAAACTTCTCAGGGACGACTGTATTATCTATTGAACAGTAAGCTCTCAGGAACAACAAAGATAAACAAATAGGTATCTAGACCATATAGAGGTATGATGTGACACATTGAATATGAAAAAGGTATTACGTAAGGCTTGCACCTGTATGGTACCATAACTATGAAGTGGAGCGTACTTCCATTCCATTAATGACGCAGAACTCGGTCGAGAGAAAGGCCTTAAGAACCTTGGAGGTAGCTCCACAAAGCATTTGACACAGAGCAAACACGTTGACATCGTCTTCTCAAGGGTATATATAAAAGTCTGCTACCTCAGACACAATCTAAAGGGCGCAGCCAAAGAGCCTGATACCGTCGCATATGAAACATACGTAAAACCAATTTTAAAATATATAGTAGTGCTTCATAAATTAGAAAAAGTGCAAAAACAAGCTGCTCACTTTTATTTACTTAAACTGCAGAAGGAAGAGAAATACTCCGTTCGAGCAATCTACAACCATTGCAGACAAGGTGATAAGTCGCACGCTTAAAATTACTTTTTTTATTATTATTAACAGCAAGCTTAATTTGTAGCCAAATACATACATTCGGCCAGCGAGTGCAAAAAGTTCAGGAAGATTATACCCCTCCAGAAACAATCCATACATTCGGTGGTCAAACGGGGACATTCAAACAATAATTTTTCGTAAGAACGGTTGAGGCTTGGAACCTACTGTCAAACAAGGTTCTGAATATAGACTATCATCGTTCGGATATTCCATCATTCAGCTGTTAACCTAATGAAGAAAAAATGGCCAACATGCAGTTGAGCTGTTGCGTAATAATCATGACTTTTAAACCCTGAGACTGGAAAGAAAACTTGAAGATATATTCGAAGAAGCAGGAGAAAGGCGGCGGACACCTTGTCTGTCACCTTCCTTCTGCTTCGTCTAATGTATCTTCAAGTTTCCTTCCCAGTATTATGGTTTGAACATCATGATTAACTTAATCGAGTCACAAACTTGTACTGCCTGTTAAGGTGTGTTCATTGATAACGGTTCCCTGCACTGCCGTGTGTATATTTTTTAACTTATACCCTTCCCGTAGTATTCGTCAAAGGAGGGCGATAGCATTTTCAAATAAATGAACATATAATAAGAAATAAAAATGTGGCTAATGTAGCGAAACTTTTTAACTATGCATTTTTTTAAATAGGAAACGAGGTAACGTCTGCATTATGGGTGTACAGCATTCTTGCATATAGAAATTTAA